CGACTTTTTATATCACTACACAACACTCACTTTAATGCATATATATGCAAACACACACATACGCATATCTATAACCACGTCTGTTTGCTTTGCTGCATCTGCATACTGCTTTCTGATTTTTGTGTGCCCATTTATGATGCACTTAACAGCTAATGAAGCACATAAATGCGTCAGTTGTAAGGCCATTTCTGAGACAACTTCTTTACAAAAGGCAAAGAACAGTAGAAGAAAAGAACGATGCTATATAAATTTTAATTTACGCTGCGTTAGTACTTTGCCACAGGCTGCAGCCAGCTCCGCTATTATTCGCCACGCACACGAACTTTGCTCTGCGCTCAGCATCACAGCTGTGGCTTCCAGCCTTATCGCTGTCAATTTATCTCGAGTGCGTTCCTTTTGTTCCAGCACAGCACAGCACTGAATATAAATAAACGCAGGCGCGCAGATCATCTCGTTGTAGCAATCCTCTTTTCATCTTATGCTTCATCCAAATATTCTGCCTTCTTTATATGCACTCATAAGGTTTATGTGATTTTTTATTGTTTGCCGCCATTAAAAATATAAAAATTTGATTTACAACAATTTCATACATACACAAGCCATTGGTCATTCTAACGCCGTGAATTAATGCGTGCCACGCCTTTTGCGCCGAGCAAGAACAAAAATTTGAAGATTGTCTTCTCCACGCCACATCATAGCTAATCTTTATGCATCAGCGAAGCTGTGACCTTTAAAAGGGTCAGTCATAAGCCTCACTCGCTTTCGCGCGCTAAGCAAATAACTACCGGCTACGCGGACAGCACGTCAGAATATTATGCATATCTATTATAAAGTGTTAAAAACAAAGATCTTGCTGGTGAGCTGGTAAGCTGGTGAGCTGGTTCTCGAAATTATTTGCTCAAAAACGAAAAGGGGAAAAACAAGTATTTAATTTTTGACAGACAGCACGAGAAAAACAGAAATAATGGTTATAATTAAATATAAAAATGCCCGCGGTTGGTACATGCGCGTTCGCGCTTTTCTTTTCCTCGCTTGTTCGGACATTTTGTTAGAAACAAAAGACTTAAGCGACAAACGCGCGTTCATTTTGTACCACAAAAGCGAGCTAAGAATCCAAGCTATGCTGGCGCAGCCATGCGCTAGTGGTCAATATGTACACACACACACACTAACACACATAAATACACAGTTACATAGCGTTTTGTTTGCTTGTTGCGCTTTTGTTGTTTGTTATTTCCTTGCGACGTCAAACACTTCAGCCAAGCAATCGAGCCGTCTGTCGGCCAAGCAGCAAGTCACTCAGGCGACAGGCACTCGATCGTGCTGATTGATGACCGACAAGATTCGAATGTTAGTTCACTTCGTTTCGCTTTGACTCGTTTTTCTCGCTTTTCCTTCTATAATTTTTCGATTTTTTTGATTTTGATTTTTTATTTTTAACACAAAAACATTATAAACGCTTTTGTCTGTAGATAATTGAACAAGCATGGCTCTGTGTCTCTACTAGTTTGTGTACTGTTGTGTGTGTGTGCGGTTTTATTTGCTTGCCTCGCCTGCGGTCACTGCCTGCTCACCGCCGTCCAACGCCTCTTCGAGCGTTTGTTTGCTTTTGACGCGCAAATTAATGCTTTTCAAAAAGAAATCACAACTATTTAAATAACAGCGACCGCTAAGCGCATGCAAATATTCACACGCATACACACAAGTACTCAGCCAAGCTTTTACAAACCACATGTGCCAGTCGACACATTTGTGGCACATTGTACGGCTTGTAGTGGAAATCTTTGCCAGCGGTCTAACAACTATTCAATTACATATGTATTTTACTGCACACAATTATAGGCGAATGTAGTTTTACTTAACTTCAGCATGCAAACAACTATGCAGTGTTAGCGCCACAACGTCAAGCCGCAGCCAGCGGAGGCATATACGCAATTAGCGCTGTTGCCACGGAGGAAAGGCACAGATTTCGACAGCTATGGCATTCCAAAGCTGATAACACGCAAATCACTCCAAACGGATATAACCGCACAACAACAACAATGACATTGAATGGTATCTGTGGAATTCATCAGAAACTTTCTAAAGCATTTGCAAGTCACTTCACTCACATACACACGCACAAATGTACTTATACAAAAACCAGCGATGAGTTGGCAAATTCATGTAGAGACTGTGGAAATCTGTGTATGGATATACACATGTAAAACTCAATGTATAAGATTTTAAAAACTTCGGCTTGGGTTTTCTTAAAGAGGAAGGTGTATTCATGCATTCACCAAAGCATTGCAGATTTTAAAGATTGTTCAATTCCATTTCATAATTAAGCAGCAAATCTCTATCTAAATCATTTTTTCATCAATCAGCACAGCCAATGAGAAGCTGACATTTAAGTATCTCTGCCGCAGTTAGGTTATATAAAATAATTTTCCACTGCATATGCCACCACATCAACACTCGCGGCTGCAAAGCAATTATTCTCAATAGTTTATTGCAACACCGCACCATCCATACTAACAAAGCCGCGCATCTGCCCAACACCCCACTCAAATTTGTATGTAAAGTTTTCTTCCTTCACATCATACCCAATCAGCTTATTCTGTTACCAGCAGTAGCAATACTAACAACAACAACCAGTTACTTAAATTACAGCATGCCAACAATAATTTGCGCAGCCATTGTTGTTGTACATAACTTTGGTGTTTTATGTTTCAGTTGTTGTGAATGTTGTCTCGAAAGCGATAACCTCTTTGCGTCCGCGTTGTAAGAAGCCGGTTTATACAGTCAGCTTAGCCGCACAACGCTCAGTTCTCGGCTCAACAGCTGGCTATGAGTTAGTGCAAAAATGTTGTTGTTGCCATTTGTTTTGTTCATTGTTGTTGCGTTCTCTTCGTGCTTCTCTTCCTTTTGGCTTGTTTGCACTTAACTACCTCGTTCATTTGTGCTTTTTAAACATTCATTCTGGCAGCATGACTCCAAGCTGTTGTTATTGTGGTTGTTTGTTGCCTTTCGTGGAATCGTCGCAATATCGTTTGTTGGCTGTTAACTATTTTGCTGCTGGTTTTTGGAATTCGCCGTTTTCCTAAACCTTTTTATGTTTCTTTATTTTGTTTTTGTAATGCTTAAATGTAGTTGCGATTTTTTGTTTTTGTCGACAATAAACATTTTAGTAGATCTAGTTGTTAGTTTTATAGTTGCTAAAAAGGTTTTACAAGTCTGTATACTTTGGTTATTTCCGGATTCCTTATTGCTCTATATGTTTGTGGTATATTTTTTCATAAATGTTCCGTCGACTATTTAGATTTGAAAAATTATTGAAAAATTAAGTAGTCATAATAGGCTTAGGAATATAGTAAAGTTATATATTGCCTTAAACTTAAAACCAGTTTCTCATAAAATCCATTTTTTAAGCTTTTTAAACAACATCTTAATTTAGTACACAAATAAAATGAATATACTTATATTAAATGTGCACTTTGACAAAATTAATGCGCTGGCTGAAGGATCCATTAGCAGTTGGTATGAAACTTAGATTTCATCAGAGAAACACACCTTTGCTTGGGGAGAAGTTCAAGAAAAATAAAATTTTGTTAATAAGTTATCGAAAAACTATGTAATAATTGTTATTAACCAATGTGATATATACTTAACCTTGGAAGACAAATATATCTTTCGCATTTGAAGGAACTAAACCAAAAAATCTCACGACTAGAGAAATCAACATGAAAACGTCGAGATATTCGCACTTAGTGCAACATGAAAATATTATTATTCAGCGTCATAACCAAATTCCTCTGCACATTACTGCTTAAACTCCAAACTTAGATTTACCATTTACCGTTAGAAGTGCTTGCACTTATGTTAGGTGCCATGAATCTCAACATGGCATATTGGCTCGCTGCCACCTGCAAAAGTTGTAGCATAAAGCTCGCCATTTACTAAGAACAGCACTACAAGCAGAACAATAACAACTGAAGCACTAAATAGCGTCGCACAGCTCAGGCGTTCACTTGGCGTGCAGATGACGCTGCTTGTAGTGGTGATGACGTAGTCGCTGCCATCGCTGTTGTCGTCGTCGCTAAACGGAGCGTGAATACGGTGCTTATGACGCATTGACTTGACGCGCTAGCTGCTCAGCTCTAAGTGCCGGGGAACATGCGGCGAACTGTGAGCTGTCATTTGTATGCAGCGCTCAATGCTCGCCGCGTTCCAAGTAATCGTCTGTTCAAACTTGGCTAACCAGTTCGCGTACGCTGTTCTCTGTTTTTCCATTTCAGTCTGACATATAGCATACCATGAGCAGAAGCTCTTGTGTGTGTGTGTGTGTGTTAGACTTAACAACATTTACTACTAATGTAATAAATACTAAATATTATATTATTATATTATATAGTCATTGTACAACAACACGTTGGCGCCTGCCAACGCTTGTCTCATGCATACGCGTATAACTCTACTTATACAACTCAACTATGACGTAGGATTGTGCTTTGCTTTAAACTAGTGCGATTCTATATTTATCTATAAGCATATTAATTTTATTTATTTGGAAAATTATCATCTACACATACAAATGTGGCTCTAGTTGGGACCAACAGTAGTTTTGTTGTCTATTTTATTTACCCTGCAGCGCCTAATATGGGCATTCGCTTGTCTAACAATAGTTGATCTTCGACTTGGACAACTTTGTTTGCAATTATATGTGAATACATGTGCATTTGTGTATTAAAAATTGTGCTGATGTGTGTAAAATCGCAGCGTCTGAGGAAACACTCGCGCCAAATAAGGCATTTTCCAGCGTTTGTTTTTTACACGCTTTTCCTTTTTAACGTTTACCAAAATAGTTTCCTAAGTCAGCTGTTTTGGCGAATATCAAAAATAAAGTATATTTTTAAATATTAATAAGACAATTGTTTTTTCCAAATTCTTCCTTTTTAGTTTCCAAAAAAAATGTATTAAATTATTTATTTATTTATTTTTCTTCGTTTTTTTTTTTGCAGTTTGCATTGGTACAAAGTCCCGTTTGTCGGTGCCTTCGAATCGTGAACATCATTACCGAAATTTACGTGATCGCTACAACAATTGCACTTATGTCGATGGTAATTTGGAGTTGACCTGGTTGCAGGAACCCGATATGGATCTTAGCTTTTTGGAGAATATTCGCGAAGTGACCGGCTACATACTCATCAGTCATGTGGACATACAAAATGTCGTATTTCCAAGGTAATTCACACAGTCATCGATTATGTAATTTAAGGCGTGTGTATATCTACAAGTAGCTAAACATATAATTACATAACAAAATTTATAGATCAATCAGCACCGATAAGCTAAGGTTTTCGCGCTTTGTTTTCCTTAGCTTGCAATAAATAATAAATTTAAAAAAAAAAACTAAAGCTCTCTCATCACACGCCAATAACTCTCATTGCACTTATTCCAGACTACAAATCATCCGTGGCCGCACTTTGTTCAATCTCAATGTACAAGATCAACAGTTTGCCCTGTTCACTGCCTACTCGAAAATGTTCACGCTTGAAATGCCTGCACTCAGAGATATATTACAAGGTTCTGTGGGTTTCTTCAATAACTTCAATTTGTGTCACATTAAGACCATCGACTGGAAGGAGATCATCTCTGGTAAGTAACTACGCACTGGCTCTCCTAATAAACTATGCTAAATTATATATGATTTCATCCAAATTAGGTCCCGATGATCGCTATACTTATGTGTATAATTTCACACCACCGGAACGTCAGTGCCCCAAGTGTCACGAGTCTTGTGAGCGCGGTTGCTGGGGTGAAGGTCCAAACAATTGTCAGAAGTTCAGTAAGATCAATTGTTCGCCACAATGTGCGCAGGGTCGTTGCTTTGGCTCACGTCCACGCGAATGCTGTCATCTTTTCTGTGCCGGCGGTTGTACCGGCCCTACACAGCGCGAATGTATTGCTTGTAAGAATTTCTACGACGATGGTGTTTGCAAAGAAGAATGTCCGCCTATGCAGAAATATAATCCCACCAATTATTTGTGGGAGATGAATCCGGAAGGCAAATATGCTTATGGTGCGACCTGTGTTAAGGAATGTCCCGAGCATTTGCTGAAGGATAATGGCGCATGTGTGCGTAGTTGTCCTGCCGAGAAGATGGCTAAGGATGGTGAGTGTGTGCCGTGTAATGGTCCGTGTCCCAAGACGTGTCCCGGCACGCCGGCACTACATTCGGGCAATATTGACACATATAAAGGTTGCACAGTGATCGAAGGCTCCGTACGTGTTTTGGATCAGACCTTCTTCGGCTATCAACACATTTACTCAAATAACTCTTTTGGTCCACGCTTCATTGCCATGCATCCCGATCGTTTGGAGGTATTCTCCACGGTGAAAGAAATTACTGGCTATTTGGACATTGAAGGTGCACATCCGGCTTTCAAGAACCTTTCATACTTCCGCAATTTGGAAGTTATACATGGACGTCAGCTAATGGAGAGCTACTTTGCTTCCTTATCGATTGTGCGATCTTCATTGGAAAGTCTGGAGCTGCGCAGTCTGAAGCGCATTAACTCTGGCGCCGTGGTTATCCAGCAGAACGACAACATCTGCTTTGTTAGCGACATCGATTGGCAAAAAGTGCAAAAGTCAGTGGACCATGGTGTAGTGATCGCGCGGAATCGCAACGAAACCGAATGCAGTAAGTTGATGCACTCATCCAACACTATGGCTGTTTGCTTTTTATATATTTGTGTGCAATCTATATTGCTTTTATTTCTTTTCTATAGAATCAGAGGGTCTTGTATGTTCGGATCAGTGCAACAAGTCTGGCTGTTGGGGTAAAGGTCCCGACCAGTGTCTGGAATGTAAGAACTTTGCCTTCAATGGCACCTGCATCGCCGATTGCCATAATATAACGAAGTAAGTCCTTAAATTGCAATGCCCGATTAGTCAACATTTACTTATATTATGCTTATTATTTCCGAATAGCGCCTATCAATTCGACAACAAGACATGCAAAGAGTGTCACCCTGAGTGTCGTACTTGTTCGGGTCCAGGCGCCGACCATTGTGAAGAGTGTGTGCATGTACGCGATGAGAAACGTTGCGTCACAGTTTGTCCGGACAACAAATACTCCGACTATGGCATATGTCGTACTTGCCATGAAACTTGTGAGGGTTGCACGGGACCTAAAGACACCATTGGACCGGGCGGTTGCAAAACATGTAATCTCGCCATCATCAACAGTGATACTACAGTGGAACGTTGTTTGCTAAAGAATGATAAATGTCCGGATGGTTATTATTGGGAATATGTGAATCCTCAAGAGCAAGGCAATCTGAAACCATTGGCCGGTAAAGCCATCTGCCGTAAATGTCACCCACGTTGTGAGCTCTGCAATGGCTACGGTTTTCATGAGCAGGTGTGCTCGAAGTGTGCCGGTTACAAACGTGGCGAGCAATGTGAAGACGAATGCCCTCCTGATCACTATGCTGACGAAACCCGTCGTGAGTGCTTCGAATGTCATCCCGAGTGTAAAGGTTGCACCGGACCAAGCGCGGAAGATTGTAGTGCTTGCCGCAGCTTCAAAGTCTTTGGCTTTGGGGATCCCACTGATAATACAACGATTTTTAACTGCACGTCGAAATGTCCGGCCGATTATCCGTATGTGATTTACCAGTCAACTGACATTGGCACATACTGCTCGGAAGTGCCTGGTAAAGGTACCAAACTCACCGCCGGTGTCGACAGTTATATCTTTATCATTGTAGCGTTCATTGTGTTTGTGGTTATGTTCTGCATGTGTATCGTCTGTTATGTCTGTCGACAGCGCACTAAAGCCGAAAAGGAGGCGGTGAAAATGACACGTGTGCTTAGTGGTTGTGAAGATGCTGAACCATTGCGCCCATCGAATATCTCACCGAATCTATCGAAATTGAGAATCGTCAAGGATGCAGAGCTGCGAAAAGGAGGTGTGCTTGGTATGGGCGCATTTGGTCGTGTCTTCAAGGGTGTTTGGGTACCTGAGGGCGAGAATGTCAAAATACCGGTGGCCATTAAAGAGCTTCTAAAGGCTTCCGGCGCCGAATCCAGTGAAGAATTTCTGCGCGAGGCATATATCATGGCATCGGTTGAACATCCGAATCTTCTAAAGTTACTGGCTGTTTGCATGACCTCACAAATGATGTTGATCACACAGCTTATGCCGCTTGGCTGTCTGCTCGATTATGTGCGCAACAATCGCGATAAGATTGGTTCTAAGGCGCTACTAAACTGGTCCACACAAATTGCCAAGGGTATGTCGTACTTGGAAGAGAAGCGACTGGTGCATCGCGATCTTGCTGCGCGTAATGTGCTGGTACAAACACCTTCTATTGTTAAGATCACCGATTTTGGTTTGGCGAAACTGCTTAGCAGTGACTCGAATGAGTACAAAGCGGCTGGCGGAAAGATGCCCATCAAGTGGCTGGCACTGGAGTGCATCAGACATCGTGTCTTCACCAGCAAATCAGATGTTTGGGCTTTTGGCGTAACCATTTGGGAGCTATTGACTTTCGGCCAGCGTCCACATGAGAATATACCTGCCAAAGATATACCCGATCTCATCGAAGTTGGTCTGAAGTTAGAGCAGCCCGCCATTTGTTCACTTGATATATATTGCACATTGCTATCCTGCTGGCATTTGGACGCCGAAATGCGTCCATCATTCAAACAACTGGTGAATGTATTCTCCGAGTTTGCACGCGATCCCGGTCGTTATTTGGTCATACCAGGTGACAAATTTACACGTCTACCCGCCTATACAAGTCAAGATGAGAAAGATTTAATCAGAAAGTTGGCGCCCACAACTGAAGGCCCAGAAGCTATGGTTGAGGCAGAGGACTATCTGCAACCAAAGGCGGCGCCTGGACCCAGTGGTACGGAAGACACGGATGAGGTGCCTAAACTCAATCGCTACTGCAAAGATCCGATGAATAAGAACTCATCGTCAGGTGGTGACGACGAGACCGACTCTAACGCGCGTGAGGTTGGTGTCGGCAACTTGCGACTCGATCTACCTGTCGACGAGGATGACTACCTTATGCCCACCTGTCAGTCCACCACGCCCAATGGTACAACCGGCAGCAATAACAACACCATCAAAGCAAATGGCCATCCCAACGGTGGTATGGGTATTGGCGGTGGCGGTTACATGGATCTAATCGGTGTGCCCGCAAGCGTTGATAACCCCGAATACCTGCTCAACCCGCAAGCGCTGAGCGTCGACGATGCGCCCATACCGACGCAGACGATCGGCATACCAGTGATGATAAACCGCAACGGCGGCAACACCGTGCTGACCGGTGGCAATGGCAACGTTTTAAGCGGCCACCATCACACACACCATACGCCCGCGTCAGCGGCAGCAGCGGCGGCGGCGGCGAACACAAAAGCCGCTCTAACCGCGATGCACGACATGAATGTGGCAGCTATGGTAGCGGGCAATGGCGGCTCGGAGCCGACCAGCTCGGACCATGAGTACTACAACGACACGCAGCGTGAATTGCAGCCACTGCATCGCAGCGAGACGCGCGTCTAACCGTCAGCACGACCGTTGGTCGTCGGTAACTCGTTGGTTGGGGTGCGCGATCAGATGTAGCCAAAGCGAATGCGGCACGCGTACAAAGCGAAGGGTGGGATGGTCGATGGTGAAGGTAGAGGGAAGCAGAAAAAGACTGCAACACTGCCTACGTGAACTTAACTTGCCACAAGAACTTGCAACGTGCCTCATTTACATACATACATACAACATATGTATGTGTGCCACTACGTAACGTAACTGTAAATACATATTTAAGAAAACACAAAGCGAATGCAGCGAAATCGAGCGAATTTCGAACGCAGCAAAAGCGGAACACACGAAACGAAGCAAAACAAACAGACAAACTAATTATAGCACACCCACAAATTCATACATACATAAGCCACTTAAAGTCACATACGTAACGGCCTAGGCTAGCGCAGGCTTGCGTATGGACATAGCCCAAGCAAATCCACTTTTAGCATTAGGCAATTAGCTTTTAACTGTACATACATACACACAACCATGTATAATCCGTAGTAGATATGTAGTACCTAAATTGTTGTTGTATACTGTAGTACTTACCGTTTAAAGCGTAAACAATTGTAAATCTTCAACCAACAGTGCATTTGACTTGAACGAAGATTGGCGCGGCAGTGGCTGGCAGCCAACCGCTTTGTGTGTGTAAAAATTGTATAAATCCTCTGACCGCCGCTGATCTTCAAGCAAATTAGTTTGTAGCGTATAAGTTAGGCTTCTAAAATAATTTAGGTTTCGATATTTTTAAAATGTTTTATTTTTAAGTAAATTTCGGTTTTATTCATAACCACCTGTGATAACGTAAATTAAGTACGAATACGAAAAAATCAAAAAAAAACAAAAATAAATAAATAAATAAAAACAACAAAAACGTAAAATAATGAACAAAATGAACAAAAATTTAACCAAATGGCAACAACTACAACAATTATTATTATATATTTTATTAACGAAATTTTTACAAAATTATGCAACCTACGAGTAACGCTTAAAATAACCCAATTACATTTTTTTTAATAATAAAAAAAAATTATTGGCATTCACCGCAAATTTTGGTTTAGAGATATTTTACCACGGCCTTTTGACACACGCGTCAAGAAATAAATTGTAAATTGTAATCATTTTTTATTGTTAATTATCATTTTGAGATTGTGTACGGCAAATGATTACGTGACGGATTTGTTAAACAAAGACCATTAAGCATATATATTATTGTAACAATTTGTTTTTTTGTTTGAATTTCTATACTAACTATACACCTGCTAAGCCTTTGGTGTTGACTTTGAGTGAGATGAGGGTTTATATTTAAATTTCATACTAAAAGCAATAGTGAACTGATAAAAAAAACACTTATATGCTGCAACTTCAGTTTACGTTTGCCTTGAAATCACTAAAATTATAAATTTATTACTTTATGAACACTATTATTAATTATTTGAAATTAAAAAACTTTTTAAATTTAAAATAATTAAAATTGAAACAGCAAAATTAAGAAATTGTTTGTTGCAGTTTCGTATTGTGTTTACCCGAAAAAATCGTTAAATTAAACAAGTTGAGATTTGATTTAAACCTAAAATTAAAAAAGAATTAAAAAAATTCAAAAATAGTAAAATTTTCACTGCAAAATTTAGAAATTGTTCAAAGCTACAATTTTGGAATTTAACTTATTGAATTTAAAAACGTTTTTCAATCTGAAAAGAACAAAATTCTAAGCATACAAAACTTAAACATAAAAATATTTATATACTATATTAAAAATATTTCAAAACTCGTGCTTATATTTTCAATAAATAAAAATAAAATATATAATTAAAATTTGAAAGTTCAATTCAATCAATTTAATTTTTCAATTCTGTCAGCTAATTTTTTACACCCACTCTTTTTGCAAATATTGTCTAGCTCTCCTCTCTCACTCAATGCTCAAAGCACACCAAATAGCAATTATGCATACATATGTATTTGTATATTATAACACACACATACAAACTTATTAATACTGCATTATTAAAGGTAATGTAAAGAACTTGAAAAGTGCCATTCACTCACATTGTCGAATAGAGAAAGCCAAGACATGTCTACGTCTCAGCTGAATTGCACTTAAACACACTTAGACACACATACATACATACAAACATAAAAAAAAATATAATTAAATAAATTCTAACGTAAATTTCGAAACTTTGGTTCAAAATTCTGCAAGCTTGCTTGTATTTGTATCAAATACGTGTGTGTGTGTGTGCTTTACTTGCAAGCATGAGACTCTGCTGATATTTCTTAATAATATTTGGAGACGTCTTTAGTTTGTAGAGCACACTGCTGCTTGAATGCAAATGCAAGTTAAGCCAAGAATGCTACACTTGTGCGACGAAAATACCAATTTCAAATATATTTACAACATTTATGTATATACACTAACGCACTGACATACATACATACGAATATGATTATTTATGTGTTATTACGCGACTTTTAGAATGAAAACCAGTTTAGCTACTTAGTAATACTGTTTATTTAATTTATGATTAGCTGGAAACCCATCAACTAAGGCAACAAACAAACCACTAATTGTACTAAATACATACATACATATACGCTGCTTTATATTTATCGACTATTTGTATGAATATATTGTAATAATGCAATATTTGTAGTTTATTACGTATGAAATACACGCTATAAGAAGAATAGTTAATTGTTTTTGTAAACCCACAAAAGTTAATAATTAAAAATTGCATAAAACTTAATTATTAACGGTAATTATAATCGCGCTTGTGTTAAATAATTTGTATGTATTTATTGTATATGACAAAAATTATGAATAAGTTGTAAGTACTACTTAGCTGAATACTTTTAGTTTTTCATATTAAGTAAAAAATTAAAATAAATATATTTAAAAAACAAAATATGAAAGTGTGTTATTTTTACCAGCCAAATGACAAGCAAGATCCTCGTTTTATTAAATACGATTTTGTTAATAGTTAAGTATGTGACCGGCATTCTAAGCTGTCCAAGAGAGATCATTTGTATTATGCGAGTCGTTCAGCCACCTCAGTTAATGACAACAATAACAAAAAAGTTAAGGAAACAATGCTTGAAAATCGTCGTGTTGGCATCAGAGAGATAGCAGAGGATTTCAGCATTTCTTATAGATCGACTCAACACATTTTGGTTAATGTTTTGGATATGAAGCATTTCGACCTGAATCTTTTGGCAAAACAACGTCGAGCAGAGCTCGTACAATATATCCTTGACAATGTAGCTGAGGATTCTACATTCTTCAAACGCAGCGATGACAAATTTTTCTATTTAAATACGTGAAAATGTATTTTTTTATATTAGTCCGGTTCAAATTTGATTAGTTGGTATTAGCCACGATTAGATTTATTTTTAGAACTTTATTCTACCTACGATATTATAGCATAAGCATCTATGGATCGCTATGATATGTTCTATGCCTAAATTTTCCGAATTTAAATCTGAATCATTTTCAATCGGATATTATCCATCTGGTGCCGCTGAAAGGCGTACTCTACCACTTAGTTGATGTAACATTATATAGCCTAGTCTAAAGATTATTATATGCTGTATTATCTGTATATTTGAGGAGTATTTTTCTACTTGCATATGTCTTGTTATTAAATTTAAGAGGGCATTGTTTAAATCTAACAAAACTCTGAAGTCTTCTAGTCACACTACTTACCCATTTTTTGGAGTTAACATACTTCATATGACCGAAATCACACATTATATGTGTGTACATATATGCTCGTACAACTCCTCTTTATGTGCTCGAATTTCACTACAAAAACGTTTTTTTTTTTAAAATAAATTTCAATATTCAAAATTCAAACAAACAAATCTGATAAATGTTCAATTTACAATTTACGTTCTCTGATTAACGCAATTGTAATAGATCCTTCATACGTTTTTTTGTAGAACGTAAATTTGTTTACCCCTGCTTGGTTTGTGTTCTGGCTAAATTTTAACTTATATCGTATATATTACGTTCTTTAATTTGGTTTATCTCTGGTATCTACACAAATTAGTTGCATGCATTTAGGCTCTCGTGTTCCTGGTAAATTTTTATTGCTTTAGAGAAATTTGTTGGTTTAAGCAAAAAATACATGTGGCAACTTTCTTCATATGATTGACGATACGATTACATAGAATTATGTATTATATGACGTTTATGCTTATATTTAATGTTCATATTGCGATTATATGCTTTCGTATAATTTATAATTCGAAAATAGCATAATAGTGCAACAAAATATGTCATACGAACATCTACGGAATGATACCACAAAAATAAATGTTTCCGTAAATAACAATGAGTCGAAATATATTATTAAAGATTCTAAATTTTTTCAAAATTTTTCTTCGCATTAAATTTTTAGTACCTATACCTAATATTATAAATACACCGAAACGACTTAACGACGTTGCCCTTTTTTTTATCATATAAAAGGCTTTAAGCTGTAATAATTAAGCCTAAATGTTAATTAATTCGTTTTTGTATTTAAATTACTTATGTTTACATTTATTACAATATTTTCATGTATTATGCGGTATTAACTTAAACCCAAATACATACATATCTTTAAGGGGGTTTTCTGGTTTAAAAATTTAAAAAAATCTATTTTTTTTTTCATATTTTTGTAGTATAAGCCTTTAAGAAATCCTCTCGTAGTGCCATAACCACTAATATTTTTTTTTATCGGGTCCGAAAAAGAGCCTAAAATTCGGGCTTCTAAACCAGAAAAAAGTAGTAAAATTATCTTAGGCGTAAGAAATCCTCTCGTAGTGCCATAACTACTAATATTTTTTTTTATCGGGTCCGAAAAAGAGCCTAAAATTCGGGCTTCTAAACCAGAAAAAAGTAGTAAAATTATCTTAGGCGTAAGAAATCCTCTCGTAGTGCCATAACTACTAATATTTTTTTTTATCGGGTCCGAAAAAGAGCCTAAAATTCGGGCTTCTAAACCAGAAAAAAGTAGTAAAATTATCTTAGGCGTTATATCCACTGGTAAATCAGAACAAAACGCGATTTTTTGTGAGTAGCGGCTTCGAAAATAGAAATTCTTATCAAAAATGCTATGCTTTCGATCATTACCTGCCAAATACAATACATATAACTAATCTAAAATTATGGAAACTGTTTTTTATAATTCACGACGCTCAGGGTGCATTCATTACATGGAAAATCGTGGCCACTGAGAATCTTCATTTATAAGATGCGTAGAAAGAATATACAAGCGATGAATTATTGCTCTACAAAATCGAATTTATGAGCTGGTTTAGTGTGTAAAATTAGACAATGCTCCCTAATCTGTGTTTTAGATATAAAATAAAAACCTCTAAATCGCCGTAAACGCCACTTTTTTCAGGGTTTATACTTTTTACAAAAAAATGTAGCTACAAAACTGAAAAATTTCCTAGCAATGTCGGCAGCTTTTATAATTTACAAGTGTTTATATATATGTTCAAAATGCGTAAAGGAATTTAAGTTATTAAACTCGAATTTACGGGCCAACGGCAGAACGCTATAAAGTTCTCTTATATTGTTTAAATATGTACAAATGTTTATTTGAAATCTATTACTTTATTATTAGCACATACTAACTCTTTGATCACAATAAACACCTTGCTTCACTCATTATTTTAAGTACTAATTTCATTAATATACACATATCGCGTTACCCAGCAAATTAAGTTTTCCTTATTAAAGTCCATACTCAAATCAAGAACGCGGCAAAACCAACAGGTGCAGCAGCAGCAGCAGCAGCACCGATTGCCAATTGCCTCTTGGTCAATATAAAGATGCCCAAATTGTAAGCTGTTCGCAAGTCTCCTGTGCACACAGCTGTCGGCAGCAGCACGAAATTATCATTACGAGTAAATTCAGCAAAATTATGAGGTGTTAAAAGCGAGCGGACTCAGTGCATGCCCGATCCTGTCGGGTGTGCGAAAAGTGAAAGCCTTTCATCGCTGGGGGGCAGCAAGTCGGCGAGATAGCGCGTGTGCCCAACAATTAACGGCAATCAACTTTTATGATTTTAATTAAATAACCAACGGCGATAACGTTGCCACGACATGTTACAACACAAAGCACGACTAACAAATAAATTACTGGAAGGATATGCAACAACAATGCGACAGGACACCAGCAAACACAAATTAGAGAATGCCAATGCTTCACTTACTGAGCGGTGTGTTGCGCATGCGCAAACTGTGTTTATGCGCTTGCAGCAAATTTTTTGCCTTTGATGCAACAGCAAACCTACATTGTCGTCCTGCTTTCAATTTCGGCTTATCATTGGGGGCGCGACGACGTGCGCAAATAATTTGACAATTTAATGTCAGAAGCGGCGCGCATTAGCCGACCAGCCGCCTGCTGTCCGTCCGCCTGCACGCTGTCCACACATTCGTCAATTTATTAGCAGCGAAGGCGCATTGCTGTTTGCTTGTTGCTGCAACATGTCATGCACACTATAATTATAATTCCATTATGCGCCAATGTGTGTTTGTTGCAACGCACAGGTGAGTGCGCAATGCGAGCAGAGTAGCGGTGTTGACAGGCGCGGAGCTGAGGAAAATAAATGCGATTTGAAAGGTGCAACGCGCCAAAACTGCTGCGCGCTGTCCCCTACCAATTTTACGAGAGTATTGCGCATCCTGCTGCCTAGAATCAGGATACGCGCACTCTACCAAATTACAACTCGGAATTGCACGTGCCACAGAGGCAAGCAGAAAGCAAAAGAAATTCACTGGCTTAAGGAAACGGCGAAATTCGTCTTAGCGGAAATTACATCAAAGACACAAAAACGCTGGCAATTACCGCACAGCCAAAGACGTAGCACTGCCACACATACGCACACACTCGTGTCCCTGGCCGCGCAGCGCTTGAGTGATTGGCACTTGTCTTTGCGTTGTGTTGATGCAGCGAATGGCAGTGTGTACGCGGTGGCGGGAAATGGAAATGGATAAATGTGAGTGGGCACGCGCATCTTCGTTGCGCATGCGCATGCGCCGCTACACTCTAAGGCTCTAAGGATAATGCGCGTCGATTTCGCTAATATGCAACGGTTGCCGGGTGTGCGCTGCAGGTGCGTTACGGCTACATTTATTTGTATTCCGCTAATGCGGAAGTATGCGTATTTCTCTCGGCCAACTGTAGTTGCTGCCTCATTCTTTCTCCTTTTGTTTTGCTGTCGTGTCAGCTCTTAATGACACTGTTGCATTTGATGAAATCATTAAATTGATGAACCTCGAAGTGTAAACGCCGAAGCGGAAGAATATTTTTTGTAATTTTTATTTGAAAGTATGTGTGTTCCTATAAATAGTAGTATACAAATTGTCATTACATCAGTGTTGCGGTTTCTTCTGTGGTTTTTAAGGGATATTTATAAAGGAGTTATGTTCGATGAAAGATTTTCCGCACATTTCTTATAATAGCCATAGGTGGAATCAGGCTGAGTATTCAGCTGTCAAACCACTCGAAAGAGACGATCTCTGCAAAGGAGTTACAGAAATATTGATAAACATATTTGGGAATCTCTCCGATTCGATCTCTACTCAGTCCTGAGTTTATCATACGTATTCTTGACAATCTTTAGCATTGAACTAGATGTGAAAACGCAATCTCAAACACAACGACATCGAAGAAAACAAGGTCTCAGATAATGCTTGCGATGTTTTTCATATTGATAGACCTACGATACTCTTTTTAGGATTCGGTTTATCTCCTTAGGATGAACTATTGCGAAATGTGTATTTGAGAAACGCAATAGATACAGGGGAATCGAATTCATCCAACGGCACTGAAATCTGTGTTTGAACGATTTCACGTGCTTCAACTTGATTTGTCTTCTATAAGTTCGAAAAGTTCGGTTTCGAAGAAAAA